CTTCTGGAGTATTATATTCTTCCTCCACAGCTATTTGTCTGAGATGTTGTTTAGCTCTAATACCATTTTTGCATGAGAAATGCCAAGAGAGCAGATTTACAGCCTCCTGTAAGGTTTGTGGACGTTTAGTTAAGACATCATATGCAATAGATTGATCGTTGATTCCATTTAGCATGTGCTCGATGCTTAAACTTTTATAAATTTCAGTATTTTGCATTCCAGGGTATGCTTTGCTCATCTTAGCTTCAATCCGAGTAGAGTACTCTTGGAAGGATTCACCAGCCGTCTTCCTGATTTGCTGAAGTTCTCTTCTATGCGTTTCCGGTAGTGTATGGTCACCAAATCTCCTGTTCATCGATTCTATTAGATACAACCATTCTGATCGGACTTCATGAGAAAGTTGTGTTACGAAGGTTAGAGCTTCGTCCTTTAAGCAGAAGATGATTTCTTCCCTCCTCCTCTCAATTGTCCATTTATATCTGTCTGCCAGCATCTCAAACTGAAGCAGGAAAGACTTCCAGTCTCCCTTCCCATTAAATATTGGGAGTCTTGGTTTTGGTTCCTCGCATCCACTCATGTTGGAGTTTGTACTTCCACTTTCATTGGGAATAGGCCAGCTAGGCTGAGGATAAGTACTCCAACCTGGACGATTATTTGTGGTTTGAGGGGTCCATCGCATTTGATAATTTCCCTGGTTTGGCTGGATTACACTTGATGGATATGTAGCATTTTGGGCATAACCACTGTGTCCTTGAGAATATCCACTATAGCCTGGAGGATGAGTGTAACGACCTAGATTGGGATACAAACCATTCTGACTTGACTGTTTACTGCTGGCTATCTTCAATGCTTCCTCCAATTCTCCTACTTTGCGTCTCAGACTCTCTACCTCACCTTGATTTTCATTCCTGCATTCTTCATTGTCAATGCCCATCATGCTTGGAATCCTCCTTGGGCTGTGCACTGGGGAACACACATTTTCCACCACAGAAGATGATTGAACACCTTGATTCACAAACTCTACATCCCTATTTTCCCCCACTTTAAAACTAGGAGAACCTAATTTTCTATTTCTTAACATCATTTTCCTAAGTGAATTTTTTCAAACAATACTTTTTTTTTCAAAAACAATAAAATAAATACAAAAAATTATTTAAATTTTCAATTTTTAACCGCTGCCACCAATTATTGCGTTTGCTGAATTTGTTATGTGTATTTAAATTCAAAAACGTTAGAAAAGACACAAATATTATATCAATTAATATGAACTATTTATTTAGAACATAAAATATGAAATATAATATTTTCAGGTTTAAATTTAGATATTTTCCTTTAAAAAATATTGAACAATGTAATACAAATCCCTATTCACTATAACATTCGTTAAAAATCCTTTCTATAATATTACAATATCATTTAAGTACTTAAAAACTACCTTTCAACAATAATAGATTGTCACCCTTAACGGCTGCCGTACCTCTATATAGCACAAGAACCCGTATGTTATACAAACGTATCTAGGTAACTAGGTCATAGCAATATCTACATATTTACAATACACAACTTGTATCATTAAAACGGTAATAAAAATACGATAATATTTATTTTAATTACATAATATTACTACAAGAAAACAGTACTCGAGTCAAAGTACAGAATAAATACGAAATTCTTTATACAAATCATGTTCGATCGGGATCGGGATTGCAGTATGAAAACATGTGATTTCCCGGTAAAGTCAAAACATCTTTCTTCACAGTTTTGGATACAAGTTGTAGTTTTCCACAATAATAGACGTAATCATATGAATAGAGGTAATTAAGTATGTAAAAATGAATATGATTAACATCGAAATAAATAAATATAATATGCATTTATACAGTAATCATGCATCAATACCAGTTCGAATTTCCTCGACATGTCACAACAAAGTGTGAGACAAGAAATATCGCACATTGTAAACATGACAACGCAATTAACATTTCACATTTATCACATGACATATCTTCATTTTTTGGCAAAGTTTGTTGAAGGCTGGTGTAAAACTTGTTCTAAAAATATAAATTAAGACATATATTAAATATTCCTAGCAATATCATAATGGAAAATAACCTCCCAGTAAAAGTATGTGAGGCTAAAAGTCCAATAAATTAAATTTAATAAATGTGCAGATTTGCAGAATTATCTGCTAAATATCCTTCCACCATAAAAAAGAGTCCCTCACAAATCTTGCTTCTTTGTAGCTTTTTGGACAGTTTTTTTGTTGAATGTTAAAATATTAACATTGTTGAAATTAAATATGTTATAAAAATTGAATTTTGATAAATAGTTTTGAAGTAAGAGGTTCTGCGTGAACTTTTACAAAAAGCTGACGAGTGACCTACCTTAAATGTGCTCCTTGGTATTAATAAAAAAAATTTGATATAAAGCAAGGGTGCCTATTACAATTAAAATTGTGAAATGTGTGGACCAAGGGTCAGGGGTTATTTGTGTGGTAGTGGCATTACTGATTATTGCTAAATATTACTGATTAGTCAAAATGCATTTTTTTGCTTCCCTTCTCTGTCTATGGGTATTAAGTAACCAAAGTAAGCATGCTAGGTGTATAGTTATGATAAGAAATGGTGCCTCGTTCAAAATTGTGAATGCCATGACATCTAGTTTAGTTTAAAATATATTTTATTCAATAAGAAATGGATTGAACAGCAGGCATAAATGATCGTTCTCTCCATGACATCTAGTTTAAAACATGAACCAAATTCAATCGTTGGAAAAGTGTTGCATGATGCTCAGGTGACCTGTAAGGCCCATGGGCCTCTTGTCTATAGAGGGAACTATTTCTTGAATTATTTTAAATATGAAAGATGTTAATCGGTTTTACTGATTTACTTTTCCGTAGATAGATAGAGAGAGAGAGAGAGAGAGAGAGAGAGAGAGAGAGAGAGAGAGAGAGAGAGAGAGAGAGAGAGAGAGAGAGAGAGAGAGAGAGAGAGAGAGAGAGAGAGAGAGAGAGAGAGAGAGAGAGAGAGAGAGAGAGAGAGAGAGAGAGAGAGAGAGAGAGAGAGTAAACCAGAAAGTTCCTGATCAGCTCTTATCGATATATCTATTAATTAAATTTCCTGTTAACCAGGAGAGTTAGATTCGAATTAAACGAAAGTAAATAAAAAGAACCGCATTCACAGGTAAAATTTAATACAAATTGATCAAATGTGAACTGAGTAACTGCGCATCAAACAAGGATTATTTCGCATTAACTCCTTGTGAAACGCCAAGTGAGGCTTATTCGAAAATTCTTACGCATACGTCACAGCAAATTTATGTCACATGCTACATGTCGGTTGTCAATCATCATTCTATTTTTGGGTGAAAGAAAAAAACAGAAAAAATATTTTAAGTCTATCACCAATCATCTGTACAGACACTGCGATATTCAAATATTCTTCGTTTAAATAGTACTAGTTTGTAAATAACGTCATAATATTAGTACATAGCATTGCTATAATTGTAGAAATATAATGTTTATTTCCAATAGAATACTTAAGAAATAAACAAAAAAAATTTAGAAAGATCAGTTCAAAATGAACTTAGATGTCACGTTATCGAATCCCATGAAGCCAAAAGGGCTTTTAAGTAGTTCTAATGACGTAGTAATCAAGTTCCATTCATTCAAGTTCATTTTCCAATGAACTTTTAAAATTGTTTTTTATGACTTAAATTTACTTTTGACACATGATACGAATAATCCGAACAGAACTGAATGTATGATTACACAAACGCTCTGCAGTATTGTTATGCTGCGCAGCGAAGTGACCCAGAAGTTGTTTGGTCTTGAAAGTTCGCCTCGCTCATATACCGTATAAGTAGAATTTTTAGCGAGGATTTAATTTTGGCATTATTAGCGAGGGTGCTGACATCGCTAAAATTGAATATCGCTAAAAATTAATTGCGTATTATTTGTAATAGCTTCTTTAGTCAGCATTTTAAAATTGCTAAAATTACTTCTCGCTAAAAATAAAATACCAGATTTTAGGAAGAAATCGCTAAATTTGCGTCTCGCTAAAATTTCCACTTATACGGTATTTGAATTTCTACATTTATGTTCTGCATTCCTCTTCAGAAAATCTCTGTTTATTATTAAAGAACAAAGATCACTCAGACTAAGAATAATCTTTCTATATTTGAGTTCTTTACATGTGTGAAATAAAAAGTGGTGGTGTCATCTGTTTCAGTTTACATACCTTCAAAAAAATTTCGAATTAAAATGGCAAGCACGATTTTGGCTTAATTTTGCTGTTACGCATGGGTAAGATTTTAATTCGAATTAGCTTCGCTTAGAGTTAAAACGAAGCTAATGCGGAGTTATTTAATACACTATACAATCATTGCTGCTTCTTTTTTTTTTTAGGTCAGTACGATGATTTAGACACCTGAGGAATACAATATTCACTGAGCCCGACGGGAAAGTGAATAGTGTACTTTGAAGTTGGCTAAACCATCGTATTGACTGCAAAAAACAGCAATAATCGTTTTAATATATCATGGTCAAATGATAACAAACTCCTACAAGACTGTTTTCTTGTATTTTTTTCGTTGAATAATGCAGGATTATTCAACGTTTTATATCTGTATTTCATATTTTATTTTTGTATAGGAATATGTTATGGTACAATAATTTTAAATTTACAATACCTTGAAAAAATAATCAGTAGGTAAGGTACGTTGCGTATGTCCTTAAACTGATTTGCATTAAATTATGTTCCCTTTGAACAAAGTGTAAATTTAATTCGAAATAATAAATGATTTTGAATAAAACTCTTCGTTTGAACAGAGCATTCATAACTTTCATTTCAATCGAATTAAACTCTCCGTGTGAACAGGGCATAATATGTCTTATTTCGAAAATTGTAAGCAGTTTGATGTTTTAAAAAATAGACTTTGTCATTAAATATTGACAAACTTTAATAATTCAGAAATTTTCCAAACTTAAGAAATATTTTTAGAGAACTTATGCAGAAAACCAGGTATAATTGCAACCCAAAGCTCAGACAGAGAAGGTTTACCTGCGACAAAAGCTATTGACGGTAATTACAGTCTGCTTTATCAAGCGTGTGCTCACACAGCGCCTGGCAAGAGAGAAGCTTGGATTCAAGTGGATTTAATAACAACCTACAGGCTTAACTCCGTAAAAATATTTTACAGAAATGGTATGCACATGATAGAACGCCAAATATACGTATTTACTCCGAAAAATAAATATATTTTGCAGTAGAACTGTCATTTAAACACAATTTTTTACATCAAAATCACTGTTCTTATGGATAAAAGTCCCTCAGAGAGAACGAATTCGTTCTTCTTGTTAAGAGTTTCCATTTTAAAGAAATAAGCAAGTAGTTTTCAGGTTAATAAAATAAATATTTACATAATTATATACTGTGAACAAAGAGATGACTGGATCAGTTTGATAAACTTAAGGAATAACTTACAATTTATGCTTAATATTTGAATATAAAATTTGTTCTTTGGTACCATAAAAAGGGAATTGTATGTAAAGAAAAAAATATATTCAAAGTACTGTGAAATCACTAATTTTCATGGGGGTTAATTTTCGTTGTTTTCGAGGTATGGAAAGACCCAAGAATTTATTACCACCACGAAATGTAAAATTGGATGTGCAGTACTACTACAAATTTTTCCAATCACAAAATATTATCCCTACAAACCAATTTTTTCCCCTCAAACCTCGAAAATTTGACATCTCGAAAATATGTGATTTTACAGTATTGGAACATGTACACTGTGACAATATCCGTTGAAATTTTTGATCGCATACTAAGCGTAATTTAAAAAAAAAGAAGAAGTACATGAATAGTAATCGACTTTCCTCTTATCTTTAACTCAGGCATTGACTGGAGACCTTACCGGTTCCGTCAGTTCTATTTGGATGTATCAAACACATCAGCAGCTGTCTCCACCACATCAACACCACAGAGGGTTCGCTGCTACAAAGATAACACTACATACCCAGCCACGCCCCCTGCTGTGTTTGACATTCCTTGTAAACAGACAGCACGATACGTCATCATAGAAACCACTTATAATGCACCTGAGAATGGTGCAGAGACTGGACCTATGCTAGAAATTTGCGAAATGGAAATTTATGGTATATGCAGTTTTACAGGATGACAGTGTCCTTCCTGTAGCAAAAATTGAAAATAAAAATAAAGAAATGATATATTAAAGATCGGTCACAGACCAAAGAGAATTTATAGAAGTATTTCGTATTTAATCTATTTTTCTGTGGATTTCATGGTTATATAATAAATTGTTTAACACATTTTTAAACCTCTGCATCCGTTTCCTATCAAACGCCAAGTCTTAATTTCATTTTCACGTTTTATGTAAGGGCTATACGTACTGTTCTTAATATATGTATTACATACTTTATATGTCTTTTAGGATGCCGCTCTGAATGTTTCGGGGATACCTGCTACTCAAATGGTGAATGTGACACGTGTGGCGGAGGTCACTGGGGATATACATGTCAAAGTCATTGCTCTTCTAATTGCTACGTTGGATCTTGTGACAAATATAGCGGATCTTGTAATCGAGGGTGTCAAAATGGATTCTGGGGAAATGACTGCAATACAAAGTGTAGTGCGCATTGTTTGAATGATATTTGTGATTTTGAAGATGGAACCTGTGTTAGGGGATGCAAGTCTAACTTTATTGGAGCTAAGTGTCAAAGTGAGTATCATAAAGATAAAAAGTAACGATCGCATACCTATACAGCATACGCTCGTATTTAACTAAAATAGGGACGTACAATGTAATTTGGGCTACAGTATTATTTCCTTCCAGTATAGCTTTTAAGGACATTGGCAACGTTTCTGGCTTTCGTGTAGAATTTTTCAAGATTTTTTGAACAGGTTTAATGGTACCAAACATGTTCAATTCAGGTCCTTTTTACCCATCAAGCCAGCCTTCCTTTAAAGATTTTGTCAAATCAATGTTTTTACAATTTTCAATGCATTTCCTATGTAAAATGTTGATAAAATTGGCCTATATTATTTTTAACCATACGTTTTCTCTAAAACCCATTTATTTCATAAGGTTTATACATAAAACACATTGTTGAAACCTTATTTCCGATGACATGCATATAATTTGGCTGAAAATGCGAATATTGAAACAAAACACAGAAATACCAGCACTGTTCTTTAATTTTGAGTTACTTCCCTTTACTGTAATAACATCTAATCAATATTCATTATGATCAAGAGAGTGGTTGTTTGTTTCTATTCTATAATTTACTTAATTGGAAACGAACTGTCAAAAAACATTTTTGCAAGGATTTATAGTAATTTTTTAATGGTGCATCATTCACATAACCTATGGAATCGTTCTCATTCGGTCCACCTAGCTATCAACACTTATTATTTCACATAATTATTTCATACCTTTGCACTTCCCAGCAATCATTTACCTATTCTAAATGACGACCTGTAAATTGACTGCCCCCTCAACACAATGTAAACAAACCCATTGCTGCTTTTCTTTTATTACTGTAGAGTTGAATATATCCGATAAAAAAACACACGTGCTTTTGTTTACCTCTCAGTCTGTTACATACGCTTTCTTTGTTTTCAGCGCCTAGAGAATTCCATACGGGAGATCACTCTCAATGACTTTTTTTCATAAGTAAAAAAACCTGGGTATAAACCTTTTTTCTCCGGAAACCCTTCGTTGTCAATGACCTTAAGGGAGCTTGGGGGTTTATTGTGTAAAAACTGATAGAGAAACTCTAAATTTTTATACCATTTGTAACGTAAATTAACTTCAGTGTACATGCAGAATCTGGGGAAATCTACATTCCATGCAGGTAATTTTAAGGGATCGTCTCAAAATACAGGTACATTTACTATAGGATTATATTGAAAGTGCCATTTTTTGCACTTTAAAGCAAATTATACTCATACAAAAATAGAATTTTTTATCAAACTATAAAATATAATGAGTAATACTATATTGTAATTATATTTAAGAAACAAAAAATTCTACCGTCTTGTTTTCAGAGGGGACATCTGAAAATGTCAAATATTGATGAATTTTCATGTTTTGATTGAGTACTACAAAATATGACGGATACAAAGGAATTAAGCAAAAATAAAAAAATGATAATAATAATAATAAAAATAAATGGGAGATTATAAATTCTTACGTTTCATATTGCATGAGTATTATATTTTTTACTTTTTCTTTTATAACATTTTTAGTACACTTTTCTTTAAGATTAATTGATTGTATATTGTTTAACGTCCCTTTCGAGAATTTTTTACTGATATGGAGACGCCACCACTTGCCGGTGGAGAGCTGTAAATTTTGTCCTTTACTCGGCACATATGGCCATTGAGCAGGGAGGGATCTTTTTCGTGCCAGCGCCTACTAAGACATTGGACCTCGGTTTAAATACGGTTTCATCCGAAGGACCAGTCTTCACGTCCCACATTGGGATTCGAACCAACGACGTAAGGATTCCTTAATCAGGAACTATATTTTGTGATGGAAGGCTTTTTTTGTTAGAAGAAAATGATTATTTTTTCCTTCTTGAAATATATACAGTACTGTGAAGTTTAGATTCCCATTTTTCCATGCTTTTTTCCCAGTGAAATGTGGTGTGCCGTTCTGAAATACATGTATCTATTAAATTATTCGTTATGAATTCTTTCATTCCCGAAGATATTTTAAAGTCCAGGCTTTCTGATATCATTGACAGCTGCTTTTTCAATAAAAATAGAACTCGAAAATTTACACACCTTGTCATTGGTCATTTGCAAAATTATTTTGTTAAAAAGAATTCTGATTGTACACACAAGAATTCTGAAGTTGAAATCAAAAAGATCCTTGAGTTTCTGATTGACAATATCTATGTTGATTTTGGAGACCAGGTCCAACAATCTATTGAAATTCCCATGGGTACCAATTGCGCCCCGTTATTATTCTAGAACCTATTTTTGTATTCATATGAAGCAGAATTTGCACAAAATCGTATGCATGAAAAGAAGAAAACACCTTCTGAAGCCTTCATATCGACATTTCGATATATCGACGATGCATTGTCAATTAACAATGCTTTTCCATTCTTATGTCGATGCGATGTATCCTGGTGAGCTTGAGATAAATGATACCACAGAGTCTGACACATCTGTTTCTTATTTGGATATTTTACTTGAAAAAGACGTTAATGGTAATCTAGCAACCAAGCTATATGATAAAAGTGATGATTTCAACTTTTCTATTTTCAACTTCCCTTACTTATGCAGCAATATAACTTCATCACCTGCATACGAAGTTTATATATTTCAGTTGATTCGATACGCGAGAGCATGCTCTACATATAAACAATTTCTAAAACGAGGTAAATTATTTAAAAACAAGTTGATGAAACAAATACTTCAACAGTCTCGTTTAAAGCCATGATTTCGTTAAGTTCTATGGTCGATACAATGACTTTGTCACCAAATATATACAATTTATCATAAAGTCAAATGTAAATTGGCGTTTTTCATATTGATTGTTAGGCCATTATTTACACAATGAATTATTGTTGGATTTTCCCGTTATTTCTCAATCATGTCTAGAAGTACAAGGCGGATGTGACCGGTCGGCAGAAGATGCCCAGTTTTCCATGGCACCTAATCTCACCTTTGAATTTTATTTTAGGTCCGTTTATTTGCTCTACTCCTTTTTTTGTATTGTTTAATGGACTTTTTAGCTTAAATACTGTTCGTTATCTTCATATATATTTTAATTGAAAAGATTTCATTTATTTATCAATATGTAGAGTGCAGCAAAAATCATTATGGACCACGATGTGATCTACACTGTAGTCCAAGCTGTTTAAATGGAAGCTGTTTTACAAGTAACGGGACGTGTAAATATGGTGTCAATAGCACCTTCAATGATGGCAAAAATAGTTCAGGTAATGAAGCAGCAAAATGTAATAAAAAGATTAGAATATATAAAGATTGATTTAAATTTAAAAAATTGATAAGAGTTCTTTTTAAAGCACATATTACTTATGATTAAACATTCTTAGAGTACCTTCTTTTAAACTAAAAAGAACAACAAAGATATTAAGGTCGAAAAAAGCAGCAACCAATTAATACATTTCAATATTCACATCAATTATTTAGTATTTAATGGCAAAAAAAAAAACCAAAATATGCGTATTCAGCTCCTATGGCACGACTCTCAGATACATGTATAACGCCTAAATAATATAATTTAACGGACAAATTCCTACATAATTATTTTCTTTTATTTTCTTCATATTTCAAGAAATTGTGATGACAAACGGTTACCGATTTCATAAAAACTTTTCTAATACATATATTTCAATTAGAATTAGTTTATTCATTGTTAAATTGTATGAATTGAAAAGTCGCGTAAGCAAGCAAGTAAAGTTAAACACGTTAAACGGGCTCTTATTCTCTACCTTTATAGGCTGACTTTTTTTAATTCCATGCAAAGCAGAATTCATACAAAGCCTTTTACATACCCAAAAATAAAAATCTGCTTAAACCTTCTAACTCGAAAGAAATACGCACGCTAACGCTCGATTCCCGCCTACATTTTGGAACCATTTAATTCAAAATGAATAGAAATTTGGCCGTAAAATCTTTGTTTAATACAAAGAAATTTTCAATGGTAATTGATGAATTTCTTAATACTAGCGCTAAACAGTAAATTATCCATAATTCCAGCTCTTGAAAAAAGGGGGGAAGACGATATTTTCCATTGAAATCGGAGTTTCAGGCATCACCATATTTTGAAATAGTCTTGGATATGATTAAATGTTCCTTATATCTTTTCTTTTGTCGTAGGCAAATAAATAAAGCATGAATATATCAATAAAATATAATGTTTCAGTTGTAAATCGCTTTGAATTTGGTGGAAAATAAACATTTTTATCGTTTTTTGTTAATAAACATATTATTAACCCCTCTCCGTGTCACATAAAAAGCTTTGGTATGAATTTGTGAAAAAACATTCCATATTACCTGTAAAAAGGAATTTTTGTGAGACGGGGAGGGATGTTTAAAAATATTTTTCGTTTTCCGTTTATTTCTATAGAGAAAAACAAAAGTTTTACCAAAATGTTAGAGTTATCCTTCTTTGTTTTTCCCAAATAAGTAATGTTTTATGAAAATCCATATAATTATCTATAATTTTTTTTAAAAATTCATCAAGTATGTTAACTTTTGAAAATTGACTTGGAGGTAGGCGGAAGAACAATACTATCGTTCGCAGTTCTTCAAAAGTATTGACTTTTTCAATAAGCAAAAAGTTTTTCCCCATTGCTAAATTGACTCAGTATTTCTAAATAATTAAAATAATAGACGAAATAGAGTTAACTTCAAACAAAATTAATCAGAGTAGATTCAAGATAAATACATAATAAAACTGTTCAGTATTATATTGATGTTTTTGCTTTTTTCCTATGATAATATTGGGTAAGCGATGCGGCCCTTTCCGAAATTCAGATGAAGAATTGGATGATGTAATTGATCGGATAAATAGTTAGAATCGTTTCCAATATATAGAAGTAGTATAAATCGTTTGTTGTTTGTTGTTAATATGTAACATCTCTTTTTTTAAGCAAACGACCAGGCATCAAAGAGAAGTAAAAATATTAATTCGATTCTGTACGGTGTGGTTACAATTCTTTTCATAAGTATTTTCCTCAACATATTTTTCGTTGTACGGTGAGTTATTTCTAATAATATTCTTAATATCATTTTATATTTAACATTGATGCAAAAACAATATTTTCATCAAAATGTTTAAAGGTTTATTGATTTTATATATTTCGGTCGAGTATAACTATATATTATAACGTTACAGAAATTTAAGACAAACATTCAAAAAAGACAAAACTCAACAAGGTTCAAAGGAAGACACGAACCAACCAAAATATGAGGAAGAGGATGATAACACAGGCTACCAAGAACTTAAATATTTAGGTTAACCCTCTGATTTTGATGATTTCAAATGAATGCAGGTCAAAGATTGTAGTATAAGGACATTAGCAAACAAGCTTAATCTGGAATAATTGTTCAATGTTGAAAAGTCAAACGTTTTATGCTATTGAAATTTGCTAAGATTTTTTTTAAAAAGAATTATTTTTAATACCTTGTATCCAAATATAAGGGATCCGCATATGATTAATACCATGTCTCAATATTCATTGCTGTAATCATTTTCTAGAGGAGTAAAGAAAACAGCTTTGTAGAACATCGAATATAACCCTCTACATATATGCATCGATCCTTGCAATGGTTTTAATTAACTTAAATTAGTTAATTAATTAAGGAATATAGTATAGATATGGGGATTGGAGTACAATTTATATCTATAATTTTGGACAGAGCAAATATTTTTTTTCAAACTGCCACACTTCATAGAAGAAAGTACAGTTCATAGAACTTGCTTGTTCCTTTAAAATCCACTTCACTTGCCAGCAAAGGAATTAACACAGTGAAATGCTGTGTTTTTTTTAAGATTACAAAGTTAAGATTTTGTTGTGTCTGATTGATAATGTTTTATAATTGTTTTTTTTTTGGAGATCACGTCTTCCAACAATCTTTCAGGATTCCTATGGGTATTCATAATTTAAAATCCTTACTTTTCGTAAGCATTCTTTTTTTCAAATGACATATTTTTATTCGAAATCATTTCGTAGAATTCCAATTACAAGTCAACTGCTTATGTACAGGTATCTACATGTAAGTTAAAAATTTTAATGAAAATATTCTCTGTTTTTATCTATACCGATTTCTTTTCAATCCTAGATAAAATTCTCAAATATCTAAAAGATAAAGCAAGAGACCTTGGTTTGTTCTTCATTGACTTGACTCCTATAATTAAATTTAAAACTAATTCTTCTTTTATAACCTGTTTGGTTTAGAGAATTATATAACATTTAACGGGTACTTAAGTATAAAACCAAGATGTGCCAATGAGTAGAAACAGCACACTTCCTTAAACCTACTTATATAATTTACTAAGTAACTATACATGCAATTTTGTTTGACTTCCTTATTTTTTTTTTATTTAAGGGAGAGCTGTTAATTGATTGCATCATTAAGCAAATAACGTTCATTCTGCATCTCGAAAAATCATCACCCATTACATAATATACCTAGTTAGTTTTTAGATAATTTAAAGCAAGTTGGTGATGTTTCAACTTCCGTGTACATTGCTAAATTTGCAGTGTATGTTAAAGCTCGCAATTGTGTTTTTAAACATGTTTTATTATGATATAAAAAGATACGATACTCGCAAGAAGTAACTGAAAACTATTTCGAAAGACAAGGAAGGAGGTTGAAAAGAAATTAATTCTTTATCAAGTGTTTTACGAGCTTTAGGAGGAAATAAATGAAAAGGCTAAAGATATACGGTAAATGATGGTAGATCTTTAAAGGGGCTGGTTGGTTGTGCCAATTTTTAGACTATTTTGATCTCCTTTAGAAGAAGAGCTCCATATAAAGATGTAATAAAATGATCAAATTTTAAAACGGAAATTTATGAAATTTTTCTTCGCCAAATGATAGCTGACAGCTTAAGATATCATATCTAAAAACGTTGTATCTGGTGGTTAATTTATTGACCCTCTAGCCTCCTTAATTGGCTGTTTGATCAACTCATGTGATGCTTTGATAGCACATACCTACTTCATCCAGTGTCTTCTTGAGCATGAAATTATGAATTCATATTAAATGTAAGCATTCACATTTTTGTTTCTAAAACGTTGGATCAATATATATTGCTCTAAAGAAATATCTGTCGCTATTTACAGTGTAGAAGATAAAATGACATCCTTTACCTCTCTCTCTCTCAACCGCTAACAGTATTTTTGCCAAGTGCAGGTAATTAACATCAATACTATTTTTCACTATTTTTCGAAACTTTTCAATAAGCTTTAACTTGTCCTCGCGATCGAGTATATAAAAGCATACTAGTAGAGAATTGTATTACTATTTTATATTCTGAAAAGCATATTGGTTTGATATTCTTAAAAATGCCAATAAAATTATACAAAATATCAATAAGTGCTGACTTCATAATACTAGTACTTGTACTAAAATAGCTTGATTTTTCTGAAAAAATCTACTATTTTAGTTATAATGTTCTGTAATAATTGGTTGGATGAAACAATGGCTTGAATAAGAATCTACTTTATACTTAAAGTAGATTCTTAATGTTTTGATAAATAATATTAAAACAAATGTAGAAAATGATTTTCCAATAGTATGGAAACAACTAAATCACTTTAAGTAAAAATAATATATTGATTATAAACGATTGATTGGATATATCACAAAATCAAGGAGTACCTGACTTGTCGAAACATGGGAGGAGAGAGATAGATGGGCTCCCGAGTCCGATCCAAATTACCGATCAATAAACATCCCACTAATACACTACACCCACCAACCCCCCCCCCCATTTTGTGGAGGAATGTCCCAATTCCGACAAGGTGGAGACCATTTACAATATATAATCACATTACACCTTTAAACAAAAGGTAATGACAGTTAACCTCCTTTAATTAACAATACAAATGATCTATTTAATATAATCCACAATTAATCATATCAATATAAAATGTCCAAACTATGGATAGCTTTAAAACATCAACAATCCAAAAAACACAAATCATATATATATATATATATATATATATATATATATATATATATATATATATATATATATATATATATATATATATATATATATATATATATATATATATATATATATATATATATTCAAAAAATTATTTTTCCTTGGTATAGGGATAAAATAAAATCCAAATTCAAATGATAAACTCAAACTTTTATCTTTTATCTTTTGAGTTTATCATTTGAATTTGGATTTTATATATATATATATATATATATATATATATATATCACAAAGAAATTCACTTTTATATGGATACCCACTTCCGCCCCAGCCCGGGGTTGAACTCTCGAGCAGTACAGGAACAGCGCGCTAGACCGCTCGGCTATCTAGGCAAGTCAAAAAAAAACGCGGAGCTGTCCTACACTACACGGTCATTGAGAATAGAAGTGAGAAAGAGTTATTTGGACATTAGTTTTAACAGAGGACTGTTAGGGCGGAAGTGGGTATCCATATAAAAGTGAATTTCTTTGATATATATATATATATATATATATATATATATATATATATATATATATATATATATATATATATATATATATATATATATATATATATATATATATATATATATATTTGAAACTTTCACACATATTACAAGCATCATCACAAACTTATGTATGCATATATGTACAATCGTAATCAAACAATATGAATTATGGATCAAACAAAATTAATGTGACAGTTTATTAAGAGGAGAGAGAGAGAGAGAGAGAGAGAGAGAGAGAGAGAGAGAGAGAGAGAGAGAGAGAGAGGGAGGAGAGGGGTAGATAAGCTCTTTCTTTATTTATTGTGCCCTAAAACATATTAAGTTTCCTTTATTAAGCTTTATTAAGCTCACCATATAAAGAACAGACCAGTTGGGATTACAGATAATGTTAAACTTGTATAAAAATCAAAATTTTTGACAAAGGTGCACTGTCTTACAAATGACATGAAAACTGTGCATATTCATGCGCACTCGAATTAGACTCGGCCTCGTTAAATCAGAATGTAGCGGGATATTACATGTATTAGTGTCTCAAATTCAGTGACTTTATAATTGGAAAAACGACTTTAATTTTATGAATATAATTATTATTTTACTCTGAAGTTGACATCAAGAAGATGCTTGAGTTTCTGATTGACAATATCTATGTGGTTTTTGGAGACCAGGAATTTCAACAATCTATTGGAATTCCCATGGGTACAAATTGCGCTCCGTTATTAGCAGACTTATTTTTATATTCATATGAAGCAGAATTTATGGAAAATCTTATGCGTGAAAAGAAGAAAACACTTGCTGTGGTCTTCAACTCGACATTTAGATATATCGACGACGCATTGTCAATTAATAATGGTAATTTCCATTCCTATGTCGAAACGATATATCCTGAAGAGCTTGAGATAAAAGATACCACAGAGTCCGACACTTCTGCTTCATACTTGGATATTTTACTTGAAAAAGACACTAATGGTACATGTAATCTAACAACCAGGCTATATAATAAACATGATGACTTTAACTTTTCTATTGTCAACTTCCATTACTTATACAGCAATATACCTTCATCACCTGCATATGGAGTATATATATCTCAGTTGATTCGATACGCAAGAGCATGCTCTACATATGAACAATTTCTAAACCGAGGTAAATTATTGACAAGCAAGTTGATGAAACAAGAATATCAGCAGTCTCTTTTAAAGTCATCATTTCGTATGTTCTCTGGTCGATACAATGACCTTGTCAGCAACTACAATTTATCATCGAGTCAAATGCTGACTGACGTTTTTCATACCAATTGTTAGTCCATTATTTATACACTTAATCGACGACGGATTTTTTCCGTTATTTCCTGATCATGATAAGGAGCACACGGCGGATGTGACCGGTCGGCAGGGGATGCTCACTCCTCCATGGCACCTGATCCCACCTCTGATGTTTTGGGGGTCAGTGTTTGCTCTTCTCTCCCCTTTTTGTATTGTTTTATGGACTTTGATATTGAATACTGTTCTTTATCTCCATATCCTTCTTCAAGATGATAATGCCTGATGTCGTAGGTCCAGCATCTTTACATATTATCTCCAACAGCAGAATATCACCTCATTACCATGGTCCGCACTCAGTCCGGACTTTTCTCCCAGCTACGCCAACTTCAACGTCCTCCTGTCAATGTCCAAAACTTGGTGCAGCATTGCAACAGGAATGGAATAACCTTCCCCAAAATGACCTGGGACGTCTTGTTAAGATTATGCCACGCGCCGAACCCGAGCTTGTCTGGCCAATTGAGGGAATTTTACCTGCTACAGACTCTGTCCCACGATGCCTTCTGACCCTGTGTTGGTGTAGAAGTGTAAATGGTAATCCAGTTAAACCTGATCCTATTTATTTTGGGGTTTAAACAGCTAGATGCATCATTAAAAGGTTGGTGTAAAATGGTTTTTTTTTAAATAAATAGCAAGAGGTATGTTGCCATTCGAAGAAGCAAAATTCAATATCAATGCTTAAGAACTTTTGTGCAATATTTTTTGCATTACAAACTTTCTGAAAAGAAATTAGTTCCAAATATATCAGTTTCAAGACTGATGATACAACAGTTGTTACATATATTGATGCAATGGGTGGTATGCAATCTAAAAAAAAAACTGGACAAATTAACAATAGAATTCTTCACCCGCGTGGCGCAGTAATTAAAGCGTGCACGCGTGGCGCAGTGGTTAGAGCGTCTGCTCTAGAGTCGCGGAGTAAGGAGTTTATCCTTACATCGCAGGTACGAATACCACTATGAGACGAGTAGACCGGTCCTTCGGATGAGACCGTATAAGCAGAAGTCCAGTTTCAGAGTAGGTGCTGGCACGAAAAAGGATCCCTCATTGCTCAATAGCCGTAGGTGCCGAGTATAGTACAAAATTTACAGCTCTCCACCGCCA